ACCACGATTACCTGACAATGACCATATACGTGTATATGAACCATCAAAAAGATAAACATTTAATGTTCCAATTGAATCACCATACCTAATAGACAAAAAAACTTATCAATAATAGATTCTAACAAAAGATTTCAACTTACATATGAAACCAAAATCGAAAACATTTAGCATCTCCATTTGTTGCATCAAAAACAACACTATGTAAACGTGCACGATCACCTGGGAGTGTTGGCCATAATGTTTCAATCATTAAATATTTTCCTTGTGCTGTATTTGTTGTATGATCTATTAAAATAAAAAGCAAAGAATTATCAAAATCAAACCAATACATGTATTTCTAGCATCATACCATATTGTGGTCCAGTTCCAAGTGCATGTATACCTTGTCCAATAACCCAATCTATATCAGCATCAATATCATTAGTTGTCCAACCACATAAATCATTTTCAAATGTACAATCTCCTGGTTTTGGACATAAACCTCTTGTAATCGAAACATCATCAATAGCAATACTAGCATCTGGATTTTGTGTTAGAACTTGAGCTTCAAATACGGCTTGCCAGGATTGACTAGGATTTTGAATATTGACTTGCGTATATAACCAACGATTGTCGAAGCTTCCACCAAATATCCAACTTGTCGGACCAGGTGGAGATAAAGAAACTCTTAACTGCATGATTTTTGATATTGAATGTAGAAAATACCAAAAATGTAAACATGATCCAGTTGTACGATCTTGAACTGGTGTTAAAAGTAATGCACGATCATTATCATTACGATTTTTTCCTTCTGCTAACATATAATAACCTGTATCTGTTTGTGTTGTATGATCAACATTTGGATTAACACCTTGTTGAACAGCAGATGCTAAACCACGTATCCAATTAAATTGTCCTGCTGGATCATTTTGAAATCCTAGAAAAGAAATTTTTGTTAGTGATTATTATAAAATACTTTTCTTTCTTTTTCCTCAACATACCACAAATTGAATCATCTGAATCAAAATCACATTGATCAGTTGTTGTTCGACATGTACCATTAAGAAGTGTTATATCATCAATAGCAATTGAACCACGATTATTTGCTGACCATGTTCCTTCAATAGCAATCTAAACAAAAAGAAAAAAAAAGTTTTAATTGATAGAAACGAATGTTTTCTTTTTCTACAAAACACACAGTAAATTGTGTTGGATTGCTTGTCGATGATTGAAGATTAACTTGTGCATGATACCATTCATAACCTTTACCACCGGTTGTTGTCCATCGTAATTGAGAAAATGAACTACCAGAAAGCTTTTCAACACTTAATGTACCAGTATGTGAACCATAGATGAAATACCAAAATTCTAAACATTGACGATTATTATTCATTGCTGTACTTCGAAATTGACTTGAGATATTAGCCTACAATAAACAAAAGAACCCATTTCCAATAAGAAAAAAACCAAATATGACTTGAAATTGTTTTTCTTACACTAGGAAAGGGTATTGATGTATTTGGTTGAAGTAAAAGATAATATCCATTTGATTGAGATCCTGTATGATCAAATAGTGGATTATGTGCATCTTGTTGTGATGCTGCTGGACCTTGAACACGTGTCCAACTAAGTTCAGGTTTCGATACTATATTCCATGATGAACATGTATCACTTTCAAAATCACAATCATAAGCTGTTACTGGACGTGGTGGAGTTGTTCTAAATTAAAACAAAAAGAAAATTAAAAGTTATCGTATTAAAAAAAAAAGCTGTTAGCACAATTTTTGCGAAATTGAGACGTGAAACATGAGGTAGCCTGTTGAGACTAATCATAGAGACATTATTTTGTTGATCTATTTTTGAATACGTCTTTTCACTATCCTGTTACTTAATCATCAAGAAATACAAAAAAGAAATAGTTATTGATGTACAATCTTTCAATTGTAGATCAACAACGTCGTTCACAGTATATGATGATCTCTGGTTAGTATCTGTCATGGTCTAAGAGAGGAGGCCCAAATTTTATACCCTGTATGTCAATACTCCTTTTTAGATCATGTTGAAAAAATATCAAGTTAAATTTTTCAACTAACACTCCCGTTGTTACGACTGGTTGTACTGTTGTTAAGCTATTAGGTGGTACAGCATATGCTGGATATGTTGGACAATATCCATTTGTTATTGACAAATCATCAATACCAATATCACCCTCATCATTTTGATTTATTTTGGCTTCGATTAGTATTGAATGATCAGAATTTACAATAAAACCAACTTTTCCTTGAAACCAATCATCTTGTTGTTGACCCGATAATGTCCACATTGGTATTGGCTGAAAACCTTCTTTTTGTAAATATACTGTCAATGTACCAATACCATCACCAAACCTAAAATGATAAATTTTCAGTCGAATTTTTTATTATATTAAAATATAAAATCCTATGCTAAACTAAGAAAGAAACTCATTTATAAACTCAAGTTTAAACGATTTTTTTCAGTAACATAAAAGTTGTATTAATTTCTTTTGATATTTACATGTGATAGAAAAATTCAAAACACATTCCACTTGAACCAGTATCTGTCATTGAATGTGAAATAAGTACAGCTGTATCATTAAGTTTTCGCTGCTTATTTGTATCAATATATCCATATGAACCATCGTCTGTTCCAAGTGTATGATCAGTTAATGGACCTATCAGATAAAAATATAAAAATATGTTGGGTTTCAATCTGTTTCTTTTACCACTAAGAAGTGTATTTGATGATGGGCCACTTGTTATTTCCCAATCAAATTTATCAGTGTGTTTCACATTTTCCCATCCACAAAAAGTATCACCTTCAAAATCACAGTTATTTGGTTCTTTACACGATACAGCTAGACGTTCAACATCATCAATAGAAATATCACCCTACAAGTGTAAAATGATTTCATTAAAAAAAAATAAATAAACAAACATAAAACCAAATTTCAATAGTTGTAACTTACTTCAATACCATTACCAACAACACCTTCGAATACGATATAAAATGGGTCTTTATACTCAGTTGAAATTTGTGCTTTACGCCATACATTACCAACATTAGCACCACGTGACCAAACAAGTGGATGTGTATCATTACCAGATGTATTGGTGCTCATATACACATTTAATTGACCAATATTTCTACCATACATATGATACCAAAATTGTAAACAACGACCATATTGTGGTTGTTCAACAACTGATATTAATCGTCCTTTATTACCAGGTTTTTGTGGAGATGATGTTTCTAGGAAAAATAAAACTTTTATTACTTTGAACAACACTCAAAAAATTTTATATATACCAATAAACATAAAATAGCCTTGTGCTGTTCCAAGTGTATGATCTAAAATATTTAAAATCATTTTAATAAAATAACAAAAAAATAAAATAAAATGAATTATTACCTTCACTAGCACCAGTTAAGGTTGTTGGTGTTGCTCCTTGTCTTCTAGTCCATGCTAATTGTCCAGTTGGATCTGATGAATATCCACAAATATGTTCTTCTTCAAATGTGCAACTTATTGAATGAAAATCTGGTTTAATACAAGGACCATCAAGAAGTAGAACATCATCTAATGACACTTCTGATCGAATACTCCATATAGCAATAACTTCGTAAACAACACGTGTAATGTTATTTCCTGGTTCAATTTGTATTTGACCATGTTGCCAATGACGTCCTTGATCACCTGATCGTCTCCAAATAGATTTTGTTGAAGTAAAATTTTCGTTAGGAATCAAATAAACGTTAACTTCAGTATCATCTGTACCATGCATCATATACCACCATTCAGCACACATTGGACCTGGTACATTATCTGGTAAACGTGGACTAATTAATATTGAAATATCAATGTCTGAAAATGTAATCACAGGAATTGTTAATCTCGTTGTAAGATAATAACCAGTTGAATTTCCATATGTATGATCAGTTAATGGACCAACAATACCAGCAAGATTATTCGAAATAGGTTGTTCACGAAACCAATCGAGAGTATTATTTCGATCTTGTGTCCAACCACACATATCTTGTTCAAATGTACAATCATAACCAGCAACAGCCTTTGTTGTAACCGATGGAATGATTCGAGAATTTGATGATTTGAAAGCTTTAAAAAAAAAAGAAATCAAATTCAATTCTATTTAAATCAATAAAGCATATTTACGTAGAGTTAAACGTTTAGTATTTGAGCTTTTTAATACTAAGTAAAGAAATATAATAAAACTAAATATGTTCATAGAAGATAATAAATCCTACTTGAAGGAGGACATGCTTGATGAGTAATTAAGATATTTTTCAATTCAATGTGTCCATTGTTTGTTACCTGTCCATCAAATGCAATAAGAGTGTCCATTCGTAAGGAGCTAGTTGATGATGGTGATGAAATATTTAATTGAATATGAATAGCACTAGATAAATATCAAAATTTTCTTTTTACAAAAATCTAAAAGCATTTTTTTCAAACCTTTGTTCTGAACGTAATCGACTACGCCAAACAGTTCGATTATGAACAAAAACAGATAATTTATTAGATTTGTCATCCGTTATTAGATAATCAAAAGTAAGACAAGATGGTGAGTCTCGTGAAGAAAGATGTGCTATGCCTAATAGACGAGCATTATATAGTTCGGATGATTGTAGATTTTCTTTATCATTTGAATATTTCAGCACAAATGATCG